CAAATCAACTGTCGTCCCTGTCACCATAGGGTTTTTTCTAAGTTTCTAAGGCATTTTTCAGGAGCCTCCATTTAAATTTCATTTGTTCATATTTTGCCCTTAATTTTGTTGAATGTGCGTCTGAATTCGGATCCCTTAGAATGTCGGTACTTTCATTGTTGCTTTCTTACAGAACATAAGTTAGTACATACGATGGCCGAAAACGGACTGACAAAACAATGTAACTAGAAGCACGTTTTCGTCAACATATTCGCAGAGTGTGATAGGTGTCAACATAGGTCTGGCGATGAAAGGGTAAGTGTGATAGGTGGCAACATAAGTCTGACGGCGATAGGGTAAGTGTGATAGGTGGCAACATAAGTCTGGTGGTAAGTGTGATAGGTGGCAACATAGGTCTGACGATGATAGGGTAAGTGTGATCGGTGGCAACATAGGTCTGACGGTGATAGGGTAAGTGTGATAGGTGGCAACATAAGTCTGCCGGTGATAGTGTAAGTGTGATAGGTGGCAACATAAGTCTGACGGCGATAGGGTAAGTGTGATAGGTGGCAACATAGGTCTGACGGTGATAGGGTACGTGTGATCGGTGGCAACATAGGTCTGGCGGTAATAGGGTAAGTGTGATAGGTGGCAACATAGGTCTGGCGGTGATAGGGTAAGTGTGATAGGTGGCAACATAAGTCTGACGGTGATAGGGTAAGTGTGATAGGTGGCAACATAGGTCTGCCGGTGATAGGGTCAGTGTGATAGGTGGCAACATAAGTCTGGCGGTGATAGGGTACGTGTGATAGGTGGCAACATAGGTCTGGCAGTGATAGGGCAAGTGTAATTGGTGGCTATTGGGATCGCCAACAAAAGTCTGGCGATGATAGGGTAGGGCAATTACTTAGTGCTATATTGGGTTCTCTGTAGGGCTCGTTTACCTTAAGTATATCGTATAATGTAATGGGTCTCGAGAGAGCTTTGTGGGGCACTAGGTAACATGGACTTGTCATTCGTTGAGCATAGTGGTCAGGGACATTACCGGCTATAGCGATAACAGGTCTGTACAGCTATCATTCCAAATGCACCGAACTGTCTCCAGAAATAGACTTTTCCGTGAGAGCGAACAGGTGCCAATGTACTACTGAAATATCTCCTTAGTTCGTCACCTGTCCAGGAAAGCGTAGGTGTTTATGTGCACGTACATCCATGTGTGTCCGCACGTGTTAACAGTACCAAATGCTACTACTACTACATATGTATGTGTAATATCGATTCAAACATCGAGTCTAGATAGGTTTTATTTTCACAATCTTAATAGACACACCTTCCTTATATAAAGGAATCACTTAGAGTATCACCATATTCAATTTGCTATCGCTACAACAGATAAATACGGAAAGAGGATGGACAATGGGATTAAGGTCAATATAAACGTTAGTAATTAATATTGTCGTGGTCATTTTCATGGAATGATATAAAAATTTATTAGACTTTAGAAACATATTTTATTTCAAAGTCAATAATTTATAAAATATACACAAATATAGATATTGTTCTACTTCAATCACCAAACTATTATATATCTTCATGTCCGTCAGTAAGCTTTAGTAAGTATACAAAGTGTCGGGTTAGCGGCAAAGCTTTCTATAGAATACATGGTCAGTGTCTTAAAATATAAGCTGTACTTAAACACACAGGATATAAACATAACGACAACGACTGACTTGCCTGTGTTCTGCAGTGCATTTAAGACTTGACCGATTTTTTTTATTGATTTTTTTTTTACGAAACGGTCTTTTATAAACTTATCAATACAGATACCATAATTGTAGCAAAGGTTAAAAAAACACATTTCTCGAAGTTTAATCAAGAAATACTGAAATGTCTTTATATAGCCTTATCTTTTGTATTCAGAAACTGTTAGGAAATGTCTGTCGCTCTCAGCTTAAGATCGTTTGTTTGCTTTCAATCTTAAAGATGTTTTACTTCTTTTGTTTTTTCTGAACTCTACCTCACTTCTGCCTATTTGTTTTCAAGTTTGACCTACAGGTAAGGGAGTATGACATGTACTCACTGTTCCCGTTGAATGGTTAGTAAGAGTGACCTTGTCATCCTTCTTTTCAAACCATTCTTTTCACGAAGGTTTCCTTTATCTTTTCCGTTGAGAATTTTTTTTATTTTCAAAGTGCGTTATGGAGTCAACTTACAGTTGAATGCTTGCTTTGCGATCTACGTTTTCCATCAAAGGTTTTACAAGGCGGTGTGAGGTGTGTCTTTAAAAATGTTTTAGAATGTAAAGCTTCCTAAAATATTTCGTAAATATATGAAATTTTACATAATTTGAAGCATATAAAAATTTCGTACTTTTTTTTCATTTTTTTTTCAGAAAAACATGTTTCTAAAATAGCTCAGAATATGCAATAGTTCAAATTAAAAGTACACGATTCTTAAAACATTTTAGAAGAACATGTTACTTCAAATATTTTAGATTACGTGATATTTTAGAAAGTATACGATTCTTAAATTATTTTAGAAGATCATGTTTCTTTAAATATTTTTTGGACAATTGAGATTATCATAATACTTTACTATAGTACATAAGACAAAAACCATTTTGAGAATTACATGTTTCTTCACATATTTTAGAAAATATGTTTTTTATATTTAAGACTAGTTAATTCTTAAAATATTTTTCAAATATTCCATTCTTAATTATTTTAGTAGAACATATTTTTAAAACCATTTTATAAATATATGATTATAAAACTGCTTTAATAGTACATAACCCTTAGATATTTTAGAAGTTGCTGTTTCTTGAAACCCTTTAGAAGAATATGTTTCTTAAAATATTTTATGAAAATTAGAAGTACATGACTTTTAAAACATCTGAAAAGAACATGTTTTAGTAGTATGCAAGTCTAAAAATGTTGAGGAATCATGTGTTTTAAACATTTTCAGAAAATACTTCAATGCAGTGCATCTGTGTCCTGCCATATGTTCAGAACCTGTTGTGAATTACACGATGCTTTGAATACTTTGAGGGATGTGTTAATTTTAAAACGATCTTTCATCTTTTAAGCCCGTCTACAGCCGCAATCCGCTGACCAATGAGTGAAGACGAAGGAGGGGATCACGTGTCCAGTTTCGGAAACGAGCTTTCCTTTCGGAAACCCCCGGAGGACACAACTGCCTTCACTGTATGTGTAGATTATATCAACAAGTGTGAATGCGGGAGATGGGGCACAGACAATGACACCTCATGAGATGTTCGTATGCACTGGCGTAGGCAAGGGGGGCAAGGGGGGGGGGCAAGGGGGGCAAGGGGGTATACAGTTTCTGCATCTCTATATTTCACTGATTTTATCGATTATACTTGCATTCTGTCGAAACTAACACCACACTAACTACACTCAGCTACATTATATCGACTTATCCCAGTATTATTGTGTCGTTATTTTCCTTCAAAATACGCTCAAAATTCAAAATGTAGGAAATGGGGCCAAAATTTTCAAAATTTTCGGGGGAAGGGCCCCCAGACCCCTCGCCAAAGCTTCGCGCCTTTGGCGCTCGCGACGCCAGGCTTCGCCGGCGTTGCCAGATTCACCCCCCCCTCCCCTACTTTAGATCCTGGCTACGCCACTGTTCGTATGCACCAATGAATGGGAGGATCACAAGTAATCCTCTCTGGTACAGTCTCCATAGATATCATGGGAATTCTATCTGTCGTACGTAATATTGTGCTATTTTTCATGTACCAGCGAGTGGTGTTATATCTAATTATGTACGTCGAGGACAAATAGTAACGTACACGTACACGAAGGCATTTGTGTACCCCAGGAGTTATACTCGCTGCTAAAACTGTACGCCTAAATACAACAACACACAGAATACACTAACAAACTCGACACCTAAAGGCCCTACGTTCAGTATAGGTTACGGGGTACAACGGTCGTGGACTGGTTGGTAGCCGGATGCGGGTCCTCTACCCTGGCTTGTAGCATATAGGACCCTGTTAGGTAAGCCAATGTGGATAAACAGGCCTCTATAATTCTTATACAGAACAGTTTATCTAAACCTAGACGTACAGTCATATATCAAATACATCTCTAATACTTGCATTCATGATTAATATATCGTATAACAATGAAACGTGCAACATCACACACAGTACAGGAAATAAGGAAGCATTTTCAAACTTAAAAGTGTTTGCTTTGTATAGAGTAAACCTTCAGGTATAGTTTAGTTTGGCTACTGTCGTTATCATAAGTCAAATGTTCATTCAATATGTCTTTATGTCTTTAAACCACCCTTGAATAAATAAGACTGTATCCATTTTGAATTTAGAGATGAGTAACTTTTTACTATTATTTTCAACTTTTTCTAAAGTTTAGTTGGTACAATTTTAATCAGTAATTGAAATTTTCTTGAGTCTAGGAAGGTCAAAAACTTGTGAAATTATTTTGCGGGTATTTCTGAATCCGAGAAAGCCTCCATCTTTCAAAAGAATTCAAGATTTCCACTATCTTTAATATACTAAAACGAAAAAGAAACGCGGTGTAACCTAAAAAGATTCTTTTAAATGATATAATTTAATGTTACATTATTTCATTCATTTTTGTATACAATTTCATATGTTTGGAACCATTTGTTGAAGGTTCTATCGATTATCATTGCTAATTATGCCAAAAATATCCCCCTTTTAGCGATGACCCTACTTGTATTGCGCAACACGGCCGGACATTTCAGTATCTTGTGTGTCCTCCATGCGCAGGTGTCGCAGCCCTGATTATTCTATGCATGGAATTCATCAGGGTGTTAACCCTTTCAATGGGGATGTTATTCCATTCTTCATGCAAGGCACGTGTGAGCTGGACCAGATTAGTGGGGGCATTTGAACGTCTCCTAACTCTCCTTTCCAATTCGTCCCACAAATGCTCAATTGGAGACAAATCTGGACTGAATGCTGGCCAATCGATTGGAATTACGTTATTGTTGGCAAGAAATTGCTGACAAACTCTAGCGACATGGGGCCGGGAATTGTCTTGCTGAAATATCCGGTTCCGTGCTTGCACACATGGCACGGCAACTGGGCGAAGGATTTCGGCTCTATACCTTACGCCGGTTAAATTACCGTCAATCACGATCAGGGGTGATTTAAACCCATAGGAGATACCACCCCAAACACATACTGAACCACCGCCAAACCTATCCCGCTCAGCGACGCACGCGTCGGTGTAACGTTCCCCTCGACGACGTCGATATACACGACGTCGCCCGTCCGAACGGTAGAGAGTGAACCGGGATTCGTCAGTGAAGAATACCCGTCTCCATTGCCTCATAGGAAAAATTCTGGGCGAGTGTGCTTGTAACCAAGCCAATCGGCGTTGGCGACGCGCAAGAGTTAGGGGCAGACCAACATAGGGACGTCGGGCTCTTAGGCCATTGACGCGTAATCGGTTTCGAACCATATTAGGATGAATATGGCGGTTATGACTGCCTATAGTGTTATTTGCAGTTTCGGTAGCAGTGAGATGGCGATTACGTAAGTAAGAAAAGTCTTATAAACCGATCCTGATGTAGCGTCGTGACGCGCGGACGTCCACTTCGCGGTCGGTCGATGACCCTCCCCGTCACTCGCACACGTTGGACAAGACGTTGAATTGTCCGAATATGCACACCAAAATGTGCGGCAACCTGAAGTTGGCCCTGACCCTGCAAAAGCATTCCTATAGCCTGTCCCCGCTGGACTACCGTCAATCGTGGCATGGATGTAAATTGCTTAATTCGAATCAAACTTTGAAAAATCAATCCGAATACTTGAACAGTATCAAATAGACTGAAAATTTCCATTGGCGAACTCAATGACCTTCCCCTGCACGGGATTCTTGTATTTTAGCACGTGCCTCGCACGGAGCGCGGAGGTCAGGTATTGTGTGATTTTAAACATGTGTACCTAGTGACCACGAACAACACATCAACCTGACCGAGTATCATTATTCTAGGCCAAGCAATAAATTATTTGACGTATATTTAGTGTACCCGGCGTTTCTTTTCGTGTTAGTATATATATTTTAAGCACTTTAAAAATAATATAAGAATCATGTCCTTCTAAAATAATCTAAGATATATTTTCACGTTTATCATAACTTCTACTTATGTATGAAGGAATATTATCCCTTCACATTATTTTAAGAAAACATAACAACCAGAGCTAAATGTGACCTGTAATGGGAAAAGGGGATCCAGACCTAGATAGCAGAGCCATTATTCAACTGCATGTTGACTCCGCAATGCACTTTGAAAAAATAACGTGTTTTTTTATATTTAGTCGAGTATGTGCCTCTGCAATGAATGCTCTGGATTCTGTCCCCTGACAGAGACGTACCAGAGTCTTTTAAAACAAAATTTGCAGTTAAACCCTCTGCATTATGACACCATAACGACTGGTTCACCGTAGTCAGGTTACATGACCAGAGAAGGGGTCCTGCTGAGTGACTTCAGCAGTATACTTCAGTGGGGTAACATTTTAAAGCCGGAATCATTTTAACACTATCACAAGCTTTTACGAATATATCACATACTCCCGAAAACACACGAAATCAGAGAGAAAGGGCAGCGACCTTTTCTTCGGTACGCTTTCGTAATTTGTGTTAGAAACATCGTAAAATTTCAATAATCACTCTCATTTATGATATCATATGAATGTGGGGCTCATTGTTTGCTAGTATCCAGTGTATATTCAAGCCGCCTTACAAGTGTACAGTTACCCGTTGTGTTTATAAAGGCAATGAAATGCACGTGGATTATGCCAAATCGTCTCATACTCTTTACGTAAAAGTATTAGTTGATATCATATCCAGATTGGCTATCTATACATAGCAATAATCGTTACTAATTTGCTTGTTAGTAATATTTGGGCGTTTTCAGATTCATACAATACCCCAAAACTGTCTTATCAATATGGACGAATATATTTATAAAAACGAAAGATGGTTATCCCGGAATCCTGCTTCAAACCATTCTTGGAAAGGAGTATACACTTTACAACAAGCCTCCTGAATGGATGTATCTATGCTCGCAGACTTCGTTTGGACACTGGAAAGCACTTGACAAGTAAATAAGGTTCTGTAATTGATTTGACAATCGTTAATGAGCTGTAGCTTTAGCTGGATCCGTAGAGTTCAATGGGAAGTAACTCCTGTACAGAAAGCGTTACTCGATGCCTGATATTGAAAATGGGGCATTGCATTTTGTTACATTTACGTTTTGTGGACAGCTCGTACGAGTATTCGATTCAAATTCAATTTACTAAATTATTCCAACAATTTGAAGATTGTTCTAAGATTTGTCCTATTTGATAACCGTTTGTCACTAATTTCATCTTGCATACAACACCTGAGTTGTAGATACGGACAGACATGTGGGCGATCGGGTTTATACCGTGGACTCGGAATTAAGAGTTTTGGCGAGGCGTTTATTTCCTTTCCGAATGCGTTTCAGTAACTTTTTCCTTGCTGTATTGAGTCTTGTGCCATCGGTATTGTGAAGGTCCGGCCAATGTAAAGGACGTATTTTGTCCCAGTTTTCTCGAATCAACTTTGGAAAGTCGCTTTGTTTTATATCTACTAACAGAATAATGGTATTCATGTACTCTCTTCCTTCCCGAAATGAGTACCTACTGCCTACTTTCATAGCAAAGGTCTGCCATTCGTACTCCAGAAATTTGCAGCTTACCACAAATACAGTTTGATAAGAATCGTCTATAGCACCCATAATATTATCACATATGTCCAGTATCAAACGTTTTGTCCTCGGCACCATAACTCATACCGTGTTGTTCTAGCCAGGGAACTAACGTTTTCCGTATCCATCCACAATCATCCCTGCTGTAGGAAATAAAGATGTCATATGGAAACGTGTCGTGTTCTACAGGATTTCGACACCAAAACCTTAATTTTAAGCTGTATCTCCAGACTACTCGGAACAGAATACCTAGTATCAGGCAGATTACCGTGATAGTAATGGAAACGATCAACCAGAACTGTGACACACAATCAACTCTAAAATCGTGAAAGGTTTCAAGTAACTTGACAATCTTCATGTTGCTATCAACACATACGAGCTCGTTTTTGTCGTATATAACTTCAGTGGTGTCTAACCAAGATAGAAAAGCCAGGTTATCACAATCACACACTAAAAGATTTCCACCAAGTTTCACCGTGAATTTCTCTGACTGCGATCGATAAATATCAAGAATGTTGATTTCGGATAAGGTTAAAGATACTATTAGATTATTACTAATATCAAGCATTTCTAATACCGCCAGTTGTTGTAATATTTCAATAGGAAGGTGAACCAATGAATTGTCGACAAGGGGTAATGTTTTTAGGGAACCCGACTGGTCTGTAAATGTATTCGAGTTAAGTTGTGTTAGAGTGTTTGACGATAGATCGACATGAGAAAGTAGATTTAATCCTTTAAACAGGGTATTCGTATAAAACAGGTCGCTATTAGCTAGTTGACACTCTCTGGCTGTCAGTGTTGACAACATCAACATGTCACTGAACATTTCAGGGTGTGGTGATGAACAATCTATTCCGGATATATTAAAGTCTGTAAGATGACTTAAACCGTACATCTTACGTCCACACGTGAATGAAGGAAGTTGAAAACTAATGTCCAGAACTTCGAGGTTGTTTTACTCTTGAAAGCTTATGAAACCGTACCCGCTTGTAAATGGAAAATCTGGTAAATTCAGATATAGAAGACTTTTTGGAAGATACCATCTCCTATACTGAGTTGATCTACGTTTTCGCAAGAAAGTTGATTTGCTAGAAGTACAATAAAAATGTTATTTCGATGGAAATAAATTCAGAATGAAAAATATATTTGGTGTGTGAAAAGAGTTTTCTGCCAGATCTCAGTACTTTATACAACCTCTTCTAGTCCAAGAAGTCAAAGCCGATATGCTTATACTTTCAATTGCATTGTTAGAAAGAATGAGATCCCTGACGCATATTGTACTGAGAAACAGAACATCGGGTTTTTCCATGTTAACTTCCCTGTAACTACGAATATAATTGTAACTAAGCCTGATTGACTCCATCGTTCTTCCCCGTAATGCGTAGAGCAAAGGCAACATCGTATGAATGTCTTTGTTACATAGTGAATTCAAATACAAATTTGACAGCATTTGAAATGGATACAAAACGTTGCTTTCTATCTTGTCTGGATTAATGAAAAGATTAATTTTGGAAATGTTCATTCCCTCCAGTCCTTGAAATGTAGTGTTTTTTTTTTAAATATGAACTTCCTTTCTGATTGAAATTCAATTCTTTCAAATTTGGTTTAGAAAATCCTTTACTGACATTCAGGACATCAAATATATCCAAAAATAGTGTCAAGTCTTGGCGTAAACAATAAAAGAGTTTCAGGGAAGATCTTCCTCAGGTGAAAGTCGTTATTATATAAAGGATCAGAGTGCGGAGATTTTTCAGTGGTTGAAAAGTAGATGGGTGGAATGAAGTCATATCCAATGGATTGTCTGACAGATCGAGATACTGCAGCGCTTCTAAGTGATCAAATGTTCTTGGCGGTATTGCTGCCAAATTGTTAAATGATAGTGCAAGCCATTCTAAAAATGGTACGTTGGAGAACGATCCTTTATGTAAGATGCTAACATTGTTGTGCCTTAGGTTAAGTAATGTTGTATTCAGTGGTATAACTTGCGGACTGTCTTGTAGATGACATACTGTACACGAGAGTTGTAACGCATGTCCTATTTTGCGTACATTGCAGCAGTCAGTTAGTACATCTGAAATAACAGAAACGAATACTCAGATAAGAGACTGTGATATGATTGGTGCATTCATTATACACTTTATACTGTATCGAGTCCTGGGATTGTTTGGAGATGCACTTGTGTTAAATATGTAAGATCAATAGATAGGATTTTAGTCTACCACTGTATTAATGATAACGGTGAAAGTGAATTCTTCATCGAAGTCTTTTTCATGGGTTTGAATGGTTTTTCGTTACATATAGATACTGATTTTGCATAGCTTTTCTGAAGTAAAATGTGATTATCTCTGTCCATGTTCCAAGTCATAGATTTAAATTTCTACAGAATAGTTGCTGTAGAGTTCAAAGTTATACATTTAAAATTCCACAGAATACTTGCTGTAGGGTACAAATCATACATTTAAATTTTCATAGAATAGTTGCTGTAGAGTACAAGTTATAATTTAAAATTCCACAGAATGCAATAATCGCCGGTTTGATCTTACCAAATTTTTATGACCAACTTTGTTTTCGAGGTACAGTTATGAGGGTATCATATTTAATTACAAAGTTGAGCAACATTTTAAAATAGTTTAGTGGTTTTTGCTTGATATTAAATTCTACCATTATAAAGAAATGCAAGGTACCATAAGGATCACTCAGCTTGTGTAAAATTCCGTGATTTATA